TGAGCCCAAGAGTTTGAGGTTGCTGTGAACTATGATGCCATAGCACTCTACTGTGGGCAACAAAATGAAACTCTGTCTCAAAGAAAAAACGTGTTAGTATTAGAAAGTAAATATAGGAGTAGAATATTTTACCAAATATTCTCTACATGTTGGCCAGCGACCTCATTGTAAACTTTTGTAATAAATATTTTGTAAAGCTATGATTTCTCATTGTCCCTATGTATAATGACTTTAGGGACACCCTAAAATCCTAAATTGTGAGTGTAGTTCCTCACCCTGATATAAAATAAAAGACAGGTATATTGGAAATAAAAATGTTATCAGACAGATTATGGGAAGGAAGAGCATATTACTTCAGTAGAGAAAGAACATAATACACCTAAAAAGAAAAACTATTTCTTTTAGCTCTTTTTACCACTTTAATGGTGAACTGAAATGACAAATGCTGTCTTTCAGTGTACCAATTAAAGTAATCAACCACAAATAATTCTGATGATAATTTTAATACTCAAATAATTTTCCTCTTAAATGCATCATGGAACTTGCTTATTTTTGCTTCTGTTAGCAGTCACATGCATACCTATTATTATTTACCTTTACCTATTTTCTATTTCAGTACATAAAAATAAAAATGGAAAATTCATGCATGAATTTTCTCATGCATGAAAATACAAAAGAAATTGATACTACCATATTAAACTCGTATTTGTTAATATGCTTGCATAAACACACAGATGTGTTCATAATATTTCAATTTATCATGGACAAATAATGTAAGATGAGAACAAAAGTGAAATTATCAGTAGGAGGTTGGCATTTATGCCCAATTCACTTGTAGACTGCTTTTTAATTTATGGCTTAGCTACGTTTTCAAATCATAATGAGCTCAAGATAGTGTAATCACTATATCTTATTACAAAGGATTGAAATAAGGCTGTGTGTGTGTGTGTATGTGTGTATGTTTAGAGGGGTGGAGTTTGATGAATTTAGGGCCTTTAATCTAAAAAAGATCTGAGATTTCACATAGATACCACAGGGAAGCATTACAGCATAATAGTTAAGATGCAGGCTTTTAGCTATTCTTTCTGGGTTTGAATCCTGGCTCTATCACTTACACTAACTCTGTGCATTTAAGAAAACCATTTAAATTGTTTATCCCTTAGTTTCCTAATATACCACATGGATTTAAAGAGTAAGTACTTCATAGGTAGAATTAAATGAGTTAATTTTGTGTAAATAGGTTAAACTGATGCCAGGCACATGGAAAGAGCTCAATAAATATTAAGAAATACCACCACTACCACCACTGGCATATTAAAAACAATGAAAGAATTCTTAAAATTAAAAATTTAGGTCAAAGTTCAAATATAAAAATTTATACATACATCCCAAGAAGTTATACACGTTCTCAACCTAACATCTACCCAAGTTTCAAAACCTTTGTTATGCCTGATCCAAAAAAATTAGTCCTTGAACATGACATATATGATGACTTAATTAACAAATGTTTACTGTATACTTACCAGGCACAAGAAGCATAACAAATGTTACTCGAAACCTTATGATCATTATTACAAAATTATTTAGAACATTATATAAGAGCATATATAATTGAATACTGACTTTAAGTCCTGGTATATCCTAGCTTTACTGAAGAGTAAGAGGACAGGTAATTCCATGAAAGCTGATTGCAAAGATGCCTAGCTTACTGTATGCATTCCTAGAACTAAGGGCTTACTATGCTTTATGCATAAATGTAAAGTGGACTAAATAATCTAACCCCCCCACCTCTACAATAGAAAAAAAATAGGCTAAAAATAGGCTAATGTGTAGTATTTTATTCCCAATAGCAATACCTTTTTAGAAATAATATATTACTATAAGCATATAGTACCTCATTAAGCATTTAAGATCACCAGCATAGTTACATTAGGCAGCCATTCTAAGGATAAAAACCAAGAACTTTACTTATTAAGAAAACTATATTTTAGGTTTATTACTAACATGATTTCTGACACAAGAACCAAAGAGGGATTCTAGAGATACAACAGAGTAGGAAGAACTAGAAATGTGTCTTTCCACTTAGACAACACTACATTGGCAAAATCTGTCTGATATAACTATTATATTTTGAAACTCTGTAGTTCATTGAAAGCTTATTACTTTCTGGGCAAGGACTTAATGATTTTTTTTTTTTTTTTTTTTGAGATGGAGCCTCAAGCTATCCCCCTGGGTAGATTGCCATGGCATCACAGCTCACAGCAACCTCCAATTCCTGGGCTCAAGCGAGTCTCCTGCCTCAGCCTCCCAAGTAGCTGGGACTACAGGCGCCTGCCACAACACCTGGCCATTTTTTTGGTTGCAGCCATCATTGTTGTTTGGCGGGCCCGGGCTGGGGATTCGAACCCACCACCTTAGGTGTATGTGGCTGGCGCCTTAGCCGCTTGAGCCACAGGCGCTGAGCTGCAAGGACTTAATGATAAAGTAGGTGTTAATTTTTGTCACTTTCAGGTCTTAGCACAGAAGCAGCAAGTCACTCATCACTTCCCTGGTAGGCAGCTATGCACGTGTTCCTGGATCAGCTTGCATACGGTTTGTGGGAGCCAGGATGGGCAAAGGGCCTTGTCCTCTGAACATGGGTAACTGTGCTGTGATTGCTACCTTTGATTACATCTCTATAGTCAAAGAGGCAGGGCCAGAGCCCTTTTTTCCTCCTTGGATCATTTTTACCATTTTTTCCTTTTGGGAACCAGACATTAAAGACTAGAACAGTTAAAAGCAAGTACATATAGGGAGAAAATTAGAAAGTGACTAGACATGCCTGGAAAAAGGTATACCTGCAAAGACTTTAAGTTTACACTTTCAGGCTGATACTTCATATACAAATAGCCTACAACAATAAAAATAAACAAAAACAATAACGAAAACCAGCAAGCCCTGGGGAAAGGGAAAAAGCTGATTTTCAGTGTTACCATATTATATTTAAACATCTAGCTTTCAATTTTAAAAAACCATAAGGTATACAAAAAACAGGAAAGTGTGTCACATCTAAAGGAAAAAAATAAACCTACATAAACTGAAAAAGATCTGATAGCAGATCTATGAAAAGACTTAAAAAATGCTCAAAGAACTAAACCAGTGTGCAGTCAAGAAAATGACATATGCACAAAATGAAAATATCACTACAAAGTAGAAAACATGAAAGGAAATCAGAAAGAAATTTGAGACTTAAAAAGTACAATAACTAAAGTGAAAAATTCACTGGAAGGATTTAAAGATATATTTAAGCAGGCTGAAGAAACAATCAGCTAACTTGAAGACAGGACAATTAAAGTTATTGAGTCTGAGGATCATTTTTATGATCGAAAGAAAGTGAACAGAGTCTAGTGCGGTGTTGTCGGGTCTCCTCAGTTCCGGACTGCACCAGAATACAGCTGCTGCACTTTGCAGGACCACGATGAACCAAGAAAACCCTCCACCGTATCCTGGCCCTGGTCCAACAGCCCCATACCCACCTTATCCACAAGCACCAATGGGTCCAGGACCTATGGGGGGGCCATACCCACCTCCTCAGGGGTATCCCTACCAAGAGTACCCCCAGTACGGCTGGCAGGGTGGACCTCAGGAACCTTCTAAAACCACAGTGTATGTGGTAGAAGACCAAAGAAGAAATGACATGGGACCATCCATCTGCCTCACAGCCTGCTGGACTGCTCTCTGTTGCTGCTGTCTCTGGGACATGCTCACCTGACCAGGCCAGCCCTTTGTCCTGCCACTCTGCTGCCACCTCCAGTAGGTGTGCCTGCCCCCATGTCTTCTGATTGCTGTAATAATGACTAGCTCTGCACAGAAACCTCTTCCTTCAACACTTTGGTATTCTAGATTAGTAGGGGTTGCTGGTGTTTAATTCAGTGACTTGATCTTGATCTTTTCGATGTTTGAAGTGCATTTCTTATGAATCTTTAACAAATGTGCTAAATGATTCCTTTTATTGGCCAAAGGCTTAGTTATGAAATATATATTTATGATTTTAAATTATATATTCAAGGTAGTGGCAAAATGTAACACACCATGGAATAATTTTTCTTTGCTAACACCTTATGTTTCAATAAATTTGTCCAAATCTCAAAAAAAAAAAAAAAAAAGAAAGAAAGTGAACAAAGCTTATGAACACAGCCTAAGTGGTCTCTGGGACACTATCAAGCTGACAAACATATGCATCATGGGACTTTGAGAAGAGACAGAGAGAGAAGCATAGAAATTATATGAAAAAATAATGGCCCCAAACTTCTAAAGTTTGATGGAAGACAGGAATATAAACATCTAGGAGCTCACAAACTCCAAGTGAGATGAACTTAAAAGAGACCCATACTGAAATACATTCTAATCAAACTGCTGAAAGACAGAGAATCTTGAAAGACACAAGAAAGTGATTCATCACATACAAAGAATCCTCCATAAGATAATTATCTTATTTTTCATCAGAAACTTCAGAGGCCAGAGACAGTGGGCAGGTATATTCAAAGTATGAAGAAAAACAACAACAAAACAGTCAACCAAGAATCCTATATTGAGCAAAAGTGCCTTTCAAAAGTGAGGAAGGCACTAAGATAATCCTAGATAAAGAAAACCTGAGAAAGTTTGTTACCACTAGATGTGCCTTGTAAGAAATGCTGACGAGAGACCTACAAGGTAAAATGAAAGGACTTTAGAAATGAAGATCTCAATAACAAAAGATACATTAGCAATTATGAAAGATACTGTTAATTTAAACAAGGATTTGTAAGTCTACTTTTTGCCTTCTATGTAACTTAAGAGACTAATGGATTTAAAAGTGTTTATTATTGGGTACACAATGGATATAATCTGTGGCATCTAGCAGTGATGGAGCTGTAGTGTTTCTGGATGTTATTGAAGTTAATCTGGTATGTATTCAAAATTAGAGTAACTTAGGATGTTAACTGTAATCTCCACGGTAACCACAGAGAAAATAACTATAGGATATACACAAAAGGAAATGAGGAAGAAATTTAAATATTTCACCATAAAAAATTAACTGAATTCAGCAAAGAGGCAAGACAGGATACAGAGGAGCAGCAAAAGATACAAACCAAACAAGAATCAGTTGCATTTCTATATATTAACAACAAACAACAACAACAAAAAGACAAACATCAATACCATTTACTATAGCATCAAAAAGGATAAAATGCTTAGGAAGTGAAACTTGTAAAATGAAGACTATAAAACAGTGATCAATATTAAAGAAGACATAAATAAATAGAAACACATCTTACGTTCACAGATGGGAAAACATAATATTGTTACCAAGTCAACAGCAAACAATAGTGCAGATTCAGATTCAATGCAATCCCTATCAAATCTCAATGACAGTTTTCATAGAAAGAGAAAAATCTATCAAAAATCCATATGTAATCTCAAAGGATCTCAAATAGTCAAAAACATTTTCCAGAACAAAGCTGCAAATCTTACATTTTTTGATTTTAAAACTTATGACAAAGCTGCAGTAATCAAAACAGCTTGGTACTGACATAAAGTCAAACAGACTAATGGAACAGAAAAGAGAGTCCAGAAATAAACCCTCTACTACATGGTCAAATTATTTTTAACAAGAGTATTAAGATCACTCTGCTGTGGGCCTAATGCAGCTCCACATGAACCTTCCTCCTTCCCCTCCTCTCCTGGAACAAAAGACCACAAAGGCCCTAGCTAGCCCTATCCCAAAATTTTGCTCCAAAAGACCTTATTTGTCCACCAAAATCCTCCAGTTGACAGTGGATTTTTCAACTCTCCTATGGCCCCATATAAAAAACCACCTCCAACTACCCTCAGTGCAGATGCCACCTTTGGCCCTGTCCAGGCAGGTCTCTATCCCAGGAAGGAATGAATGGCCTGACTCTCTCCATTCTCTGGTCTTGTCTCTAGGTGCACATGATGTTTAACACACAGTAGGGAAAGGACAGCCTTTTTAACAAATGGTGCTATGAAAATTGGATATCCACATACAAAAAAACAAAATGGAAGGAGGAGGAGGAAAAGGAGGAGTTGGACCCTTACTTAACACCATGTACAGAAATAGATCAAAGAATTAAAATTAAATGTAAGACCTTAAATTATAAAATTACGAAGAAAACATAGAGCAAAAACTTAACAACATTGGCTTTGGTAATGATTTCTTGTATATATCAAAGGCACAGAAAACAAAGAAAAAATAGATAAGCTGGACTTCAGGAAAAATTTTTAAATGTCCACCAAAAGACTATATCAACACAGGAAAAAGGCAACCTACAGAATGGGAGAAAATATCTGCAAATTATATATCTGACAAGGGATTTAATATTCAGAATATACAAAGAACTCCTGAACTCAACAACAAAAAAACCCAATTCAAAAATGTGCAGAGGACTTGAACAGGCATTTCTCTGGAGAAGACATACAAGTGGCAAAGAAGCACATGAAAAGATGCTCAGTATCACTAATCATTAGAGAATGCAGATCAAAATTACAATGAGATGCTACTTCATATCCATTAAGGCTACTATAAAAAAAAAAAGAAAATAACAAGTGTTAGAATATAAAGAAATTAGAACCTCTGTGCATGTTGATGGGAATGTAAAATTGTACAGCTGCTGTGGAAAACAGTATCCACATGTAAAAGACTGAAACTGGACCCGTGCCTTTCTCCACTCACAAAAATTGATTCAAGATGGATAAAAGATTTAAATCTAAGGCATGAAACAATAAAAATCCTCAAAGAAAGTGTGGGGAAAACACTTGAAGATATCAACCTGGGGAAAGATTCTATGAAGACTTCCATGGCAATCACAACAATAATAAAAATAAACAAATGGGACTTAATTAAGCTGAAAAGTGTCTGTACAGCTAAGGTGACAACAACCAAAGCAGACAACTTACACCTTGGGAAAGGATATTTGCATATTATGAATCAGACAAAAGCTTGATAACTGGGATCTACAGAGAACCCAAATTAATAAACATAAAAAGAGCCAACAATCCCTTAGATCACTGGACAAGAGAGATAAATAGAACCTTCTCTAAAGAAGACAGACGAATGGCTAACAAACATATGAAAAAATGTTCATTGCCCCTAATTATTAGAGAAATGCAAATCAAAAGCACCCTGAGATATCATGTAACCCCAGTGAGAATGGCCCACATCACAAAATCTCAAAACTACAGATGCTGGTATGGATGTGGAGAGAAGGGAACACTTTTACACTGCTGGTGGGACTGTAAACTAATAAAACCTTTGTGGAAGGAAGTATGGAGAACCCTCAAAGAACTCAAGCTAGACCTCCCATTTGATCCTGAAATCCCATTGCTGGGCATTTATCCAGAAGAAAAAAAATCCTTTTATCACAGGGATACTTGCACTAGACTGTTTATTGCAGCTCAATTTATAATCGCCAAAATGTGGAAACAGCCTAAATGCCTACCAACTCAGGAATGGATTAAAAAGCTGTGGTATATGTAATACTGTGGTAATTACCATGTAATACTATTCAGCCACTAAAAAAGATGGAGACTTTACATCCTTTGTATTAACCTGGATGTATGTGGAACACACTATTCTTAGTAAAGTATCACAAGAATGGAGAAATAAGAATCCTATGCATTCAATTCTGATATGAGAACAATTAAGGTCCTACTACACAGAGGAGACTGGGGGCTGGGGAGAGCTAGGAAAGGGAAGGACAGAGGGTCAAGGGATGTGGTACACCTTTTGTGGGGTGGGACACAAAGATAAGAGGGTCCTTATCTAACGAAAGTAATCAATGTAACCTGGTTCTGTGTACCCTCAATGAATCCCCAACAATAAAAAAAAAAAAAATTGAAAATATAGTTAACATATGACCCAACAATTCTAATTGAGAAGTCCAAAGAACTGAAAACAGGACTGGACCTTGAAGAGATGTATGTACACACACATTCATAGAAGCATTATTTGTAACAGTTAAAATGTAGTTGGAACCCAAATATCCATCAACAGATGCATGGATAAGCAACATGTGATATTTATGTACAGTGGAATATTATTTAGCACTGAAAAGAAAGAAATTCTGTTACATGCCACAAGATGGTTGAAGCTTAGGGGCATTTTGCTAAGTGAAATAAGCTAGTTGCAAAAACAAATACTGTATGACTTAATGATCCCACTTGTATGAGGTGCTTAAAGTAGTTAAAATTATAAAGACATACAGTAGAATGGTGGTTTTTAGGAGCTGGGGTGGGGGGGGGAAGTGGGGAGTTACTGAATAATGGGTTATTTAGTTTTGCAAGATGAAAAGAGTATTAGAGATAGATGTACAGCCTGATGAATGTATTGAAGTGTACTGAACTATACACTTCAAATGGTTAAGATGGTAAATATATATCTTTTATATATTTTAACATAATTTTAAAAATGGAAACAAAAATATCATAGAGCTGAAAAAAAATCTTGAAAACCATAGTCCAAGTACTTATTTATAGATTAAAAAAAACTTTAAGATCTGAAGTTTAATGCCTTGTCCAAAGTTACATAACCAGCTCTGGCTGCACCAGCATTAGACTCAACTCTTCTGACTACTAAGGCTGTGCTTTCCATTGCAACTTTTTGCCCCTGCTGATCAACCTGCAAACCTGAAATACATACATAGACAGACTCAGGTAATGCTTTTATATCATCCAACTTAGTACTGTTAACCTGGAATGTTACAAAAGAAATACTGAATTACTGGACTTTTTCCTTACCAAATGTCAACTAATATTTATCACTTTTTAAACAAAGAGTCTGTGGTTTGACTGCTCATACAGTGTACAATTTCCTCACGTGACAGAGAACTGACCTTACTCAATAAGGAGTCATAAAACCAGAACCAACGTGTCTAATAAAACAGGAGGCAGTGGAGAAACCAGCCAGCCCAAACCAGCTAGAACCAAGATGGCCATGAAACATGACATTAGATTACCCTCACTGCTCATTATACCCTGCCTTTAATGTATTAGCATACTA